GGCTGCCAGAACAAAGAACTAAAGACTGAGTAAAATGTATAACCAAAACTTAGTTTTTTCACAATTCTAGAGGCTGGAACACCAAGATTTAAGTTTTTGGCAGGGTTGTTTTCTTCTGGAATCTTCTCTCTTTGACTTTTTCTCTCTTTGCTTTTCTTCTCTCTTTGCTTTTCTCCATATGCTAGTCTGTATCCTAATCTTTTCTTATGAGGACACAAATCAAATTGGATTAGGACTCTGTCATATGACTTCGTTTTGCTTTAGGTACCCGTTTAAAGGTCTTATCTCTAAAGACATTCATGTTCTGAGGTACTGGGGATTAGGACTTCAATGCATGAATTTTGAGGGTGACACAATTCAGTCTATAACATATTCATATCAGTAGTAGGTACAAACACCATGCTTACTTAGGTAACTGGTAAAAATGCCAAAGACTGTATCTGAGCTGCCACTCTGCATGTGGTTTCCCAAATAGTGCTGGAATTCAGGTCCCAGTCTGGGACACTTCTTCCCTCCAAGCACCTTTTGGGTCTGAGGTATGTACTAATCTCAGTGAGGCAAGTGAGTAAACTACATATATTTGTATCTCTTTCTCAACTGAACAGAGTAAAAGGACATTTTACAGTGGATTTAAAAGGTTATATCAGCAGTGTTATAGTTTAGATGGTTTGTATCCCCAAATGTCATGTTTTGAAATTTGGTGTTGGGAGGTACTCAGTCTAGTGGGTGGTGATTGGATTGTGGTGATTGTGTTGTATTACTGAGACAGTCTCATGAGGACAGATTGATGATGTTTTTTGAGACCCATTGAGCTCTAGGTCTTGTGAGAAGGGGTTAATTCTCATGAGAGCTGTTTGTTATATAAGATAGGGTTGTCAGGGACAGCAGATGGTGTAGGGGTTATGTTGCTGGACTCACAGAGTGCAGATTGCAGTCTGAGTCCCAGATCCAGTGACTTATGACGGATGTGTATGCATGTGTGCCCAAGATCCCAGGAGGAAAATGGAGAAGGGACAGTGGTGTGGCCATTCACCCTGGGAGATTATTTCTCACATTTTCTCTCCTGTGTTTGTTTCTCTCTCTCTGGTGAGTGCATGTGCCCTAAAACAAACAAACAAACAAAAAAAAACTCTATTAAAGAGAGAGAGAGAGAGAGAGTTGTCAGAAGTTCTCTCTCTGCATACACTTGCTATCCTCCAAGCTTCTGTCAGCCATTATGTAGGCCAGCCCGATATTAGGTTTATGCCTTCTGACTTGCCAGTGTGCAGAATTGTGAGTTTATAAACCCTTATTTTGTTACGAGAAGATGGCATAATGATTACATCACAGGACTCCCACATGGCCAACTGCAGTTTGATTCCTTGACCCAGAAGCTTGAAACTCACTCTGGGAATGTGTGTGTGTGTGTGTGTGTGTTCAAAATCCTGAGAGGAGAATGGAGGAGAGGGGACTGTGGTGTGGCCATCTCCTCTGGGTGTATATGTGTGGGAGGGGTAATTTCTCACTCTTCTTTCTCTCTCTGGCTATCCAGCAAGTGTGTGAGTCCTACAGCCAAAAAAAAAAAAAAAAAAACCATCCAGTGAGTGTGTGAGTCCTACAGCAAAAAAAAAAAAAAAAAAAAATCTCTCTTAAAAACAAAACATAACAAAACTCTATTTCTTAATAAACCACTCAGGCTTAGGTATGTATTTCTGTTACCATCAAAAACTGACTAACACACGGGGGCTAGCAGGTGGCACAGTGGTTAAGGTGCCGGACTCTCATATGGTCAACCACGGTTTGAGTCTCAGACTCAGTCAGTCACATGAAACTCACACCGGGCACATGTGCATATGTGCCCAAATTTCCGGGAGGAGAAGAGGAAAAGGGATTGTAGTATGGTCATTCCCCCTTGGGGAGGGGTGATTTCTCCCTCCAGTGAGTACACGTGCTATATAGCAAAATTTTCTCCAAAACAAAAAACTCAAACTGACTAAGATAAACAGTAAATTGGATCCTTTGAAAGTGCTAGCTAGTGAAAAAGACTATACCATATCCTTACCAAAACTATTGTTTCATTTTTATGTTAATCATATATAAGCACACACATACACACACACACACACACACATATATATATATCAGTTTTAAACACAAAATAGTTCAGTAAAAAATTCACATAAAATGAAAAGATTTTCAATTTGTCATAGTATTCTTTTTCCTCCGTTGTTAAGCAGAAAATCTAGAGGGTTTCTGTAGTTGGGGACAATAGACTAAATCAAAGTAGGAGAAAATAGTTATCATTTTTTTAAACCACTAATTGAAGCTTTAAGTGTCTCACAGTTTTCTGGTGATTTAGGGCTAAAATTTGTTCTGTTCTTTATTTTCCTTTGTCAGTGGTATTCACCATGGTAACTTCAATAAAAGTCCCCTCACAAATGTTTTCTGTTTGAAGTCCCAAGCACCTTTTTAAAGAAGAAGGCTGACAACCTGGTGGGTGTGGGTGTTTTGAAAATAAGTATTTTGCCTTTTGTATGATTGCTTGGATGTTAGGAGGTGAAAAAATTATTGAGAGGATGAGGTTGGGTGAAAAAAAGCACTTTAGTTTGTTTAAGAATAAAAATTTATTTGATTCTAGAGATAGATTAATTTAAAATATGCTAGACAAAATTTTCTCTTTCCAACATTTGCTTATTTTTCATCTTAAAATGTGGGCAAGCTTTGCCTATACAAATTCATAAGCCACTCTGGAGTATAAATTTTATATGGGAAAAGAGTTAAAACCTGATTCAATTAATTCCACTTGGGTCTAAATGCAACTTTCTTGGGACTATGTCGCAAAACTTTACTAATGTGGGACTTTGAGCACATTATCAAATGTACCGAGGTTCCCCCTAGTTCTTCTTTATAAAATATAGAGGTGGTAGGAGCCCAAGGGTTTTCTGTCTTAATTGCACTTTGGAATCAAATGGAGATCTTTAGAAAATACCAATGCCAGGGCCCTACCCAGAAATTATAATTTAATCAGTCTGGGGTCACACACAGATATAAATGTTTTCTAAGTATCCAGAGCAATTTTAATGTCTACTTAGCATTGGGAATCACTATATTCACTGATCTCAAGGATCTGTTCCAATTCTACCATTCTTTCCAACAAATTGACTTCAGCAGGTCTTGACTCCAATAAGAGCATCAATGAAGTATCTTTGCTTTCAAATTTGTTATATATCTTTTTGTGCAGGACTCAGGAAAGAAAGGCATTAACTCCTAGATTAAGGAATCTAGCATCTTTATTCCTCTTTATTCTATTCATTATCCAGAATAAGGCCAAAAAGTCAAGCCAATATTCAGTACAAAAGTCATGTTTCACTTTCAAAACACATTGGCTGTCAAATAGTTTTATTGCTTGAAGGTTGGTTAAAAGACAGTAACTAGGGACCAGCTGACTACATAATGGGTCCATCGCTGGACTCTCATGTGGTTGAACATGGTTCAAGTCCTGAACCTGGCAGATTAAAACTCATACCGGGTGCGTGTGTGTGAGTGCCCAAAATCCCGAGAGGAGAATGAAGAAGGAATTGCAGTGTGGCCATCCCCCCTGGAGGGGTTAATTTCTTGCTTTATGTCTCTCTGTCTCTCTGGTGAGTGCATGTGCCCCATAGCAAATAATCTCTCTCTCTCTGAAAAAAAAAAAAAGGCAGTAACTATAACATTATAGATTCAGTGTAATGTTTTTTTTAAAAGGTAGAAATAGCTAATACAAAGCTAGCAATAGGACTGTCAAATGACTATAAAACTCTTTTTGGATAACTTAGTGGATAACTTTTCTCTTTTGAATAGTGGTTCTCATCCTTGACAAATTATTGATGTACTTGCCTGGGAGATTTTTAAAAAGCCTTCTGCCTGGACTACATCCTAGATGAAATCAGAATCATTGGACCAAGTACCAGTTTAGTTTAGTTTTGTTTTAAACTTCCCAGGCAATTTCCTAAAAAGCTGACCCCAGGTTGGAAATCATTTGCTCTAGAATGAGATAGTGTGGACAATTTGAATTGAGCAACTGACCATCAGTGAAATGGTAAGCATATGTTAGCATCACCTTGATTAGAAATAGCACCTTCCTTCCCTAGTGTATAACATTGTCAGACAGGATTATTCTTCTTTTGCTAAAATTACTATAGTAAGAGCAGTCTCTTGTTCATTTAAATGTTCCAAGTTGTTAGACTTTAACAATTTCTATTGAGATGGACAATTAATCTTTTCCTTCTTAAGTCAATGAATAAAATCTAGGTCAGTCTTCTCACAGACCTCTTTAAAAATAATGGAAATAAAAAGTAAAAGGAGAATAAAACACAGAATTTTTAGGGAATGAATGTGTTAGGTCAAATTACAATTCAAAAAGACTCAATGAAATATGTGCTTAAAGTTTCTGATGTGTTGTTTTCTGGTAGGTAAAATGCATTTCAACATTAATCCTCTCCACCTAAGCACAGATTGTGATATTCATTGTAAACTTAAAGAGCCCAAAGGCTCAATACTGTAGAATCAAATGTGTGCTTAATTGTCATTCTAGAGCTTGGTTCTGGAATCTCCCCAAAGCCTATAAATCATTATCAAACAAGAAAATCAAGTAATTAAGCTCTCTGGCCTGAATCTGATCTATACTTTCTACCTTCAGCATAAAAAGATATTCACTTCATACAGCTAGTTAAACTCTCTAATAATGAACTTGGATCAGGGAAATGATTTGCTAATGCTTTCACAAACACAGGGAAAAGGGCAATGATTTCTTCCCAATCACACATGCCAAATCCACTTGTTCACAGTGGCATGGACAGAAACCCACAACTGACCTACATGGAAAAGAATGATAAAGTATTAATAAGAGTAAGTTTTTAAAAAATTGCCTTCAAAAGCTACTCTAATTTCTTTTCCTTAAGATGGCTCTAGGGCTTATTACTCATTAGATGGTTTATAGTCAATTGCCTTTTATCCTTAAAATCATACAAAGTAAGCAATTATTTAGAATGAAATAATTGATTTAATATTCATAGATTTGAGAAAAACACTTGTAATAAATTCAGTCTGGGGTCTGAATTAGCACCATCTGAATACAGAAACAATTCTACATGCGTGCACAAATTAGTTTTATTATCATATGTAGGTAAAATATTTTTGCCTTTCTTGATATACTTGCTTTGGCAGACCCTTCTTGGGGTTAAACTTATTTTATTAGTTGACTGGGCATGACACAGGTTGAACGCCCCTCAGTTCCAGGGCCTTGGCAAAGTTAATCTCGAGTGGCTTGCCCGTGCCTTTGGTGAGCTTTAGGGAACGGATGCAGCCTCGGAACCGAATGCTGGTGGTCAGGCCAAATTGGTTGAGGCCATCTGAAAAAAACAAAAAACAAAAAACAAAGTGAGAGGGCTCAGCTTCTAATTGCTGCTGTAGTAAATGTTAAGAGCATGTTTCAAAATCAACTGTTAGCTTGAGATTCAATTGGACACTGTCTAATGTAAAGCTAGTGATTTTATTTTTAGCTTCACCAACAACTTTATAGAGAAATAATAAACTTTTTAAAATAGTTATGAGGCCAGCTCTGTGGTCTGGAAGATAAGGCAGCTGAACCCCCATGACTAATGGTGATGTTGAAATGCTGGATCTGGTGTGTGGGACTCATGTGTGTGCTCAAAACCCCAACAGGAGGGAGAAATGGAGGGGAAGGGATTATTGTATGATCATGCCCCATAAGGGTGCTTTCTCTTCTCCTCTCTCTGTCTCTCTCACTGGAAAGCACACATGTTCTCTAGTTAACAATAGTTGTATAAATCTCAGTTATAGAAATATGGAAACATCTACGCTTAAACTTTTAAAAAAACATTTGTCAGAGGGCATGTGGGCACTCTAGTGAGAGAGAGAAAAGAGAGAAAGCACCTCCTTCAGGAATTGTCATGCCACAATCCCTCCTCATCCATTTCTCCATCCTTTTGGATTTCTGGGCACATACTTACTCAAGCTTGCCATGTTTTTCAAGCCACAGGGTTCAGGATTCGAACCCCACAGTCAGCCATGTGGAATCCAATTGCCTTAACCACCTACCATCACTTGGCCCAGACTCTTATTTTATATTTCATACAAAAATTAACTCAAAATAAATCAGCAACCTAAATATAAGAGCAAACTAGAAAACTCTAAAAAGAAAATATACGGGTAAATACTTCATGCTTTTGTATTTGACAACAGATTCTTAGATATAACACTACAAACAAAGGAAAAAAGGATTTGGACTTTATTGAATAAAAAATTTCAAGCCACTAAGTATAGGACTTGAATTGTGAGGTAGGTCATTTGGTATCCAGTCACTATAACCACCACACTGTGGGCTGGCCCTAGGTTTATACATTTTAAGGTATCAAACACATAATTCCGTTTGGAGTGAATAAACTTATAGCTTGATTAAAAACTATAAAATTTTATTTAGTGAAGAAAGCAATTGATCAGATACTTTAAAAATTGAATCAGGACATGGGGTTTTAAAGGCAACTTGATCACTTTCTTACATTATAAAAATACATATTGTAAGGTCAAGTTGGTTGGACACTCATACAAAATCTTTTTTTGGCGGGGTCAAATGATGGTGCAGTGGTGGGTTAACTGGACTTACATAAGGAGGGTCCTGGGTTTATGCCCTAGGACGTTCCTTTACACACCAGCACAAAGGTGTCTGAGTGTAGCTGGGACAGACTGCAGCATGAGGACCCTATTGGGAGTGCCTGTTTCTCTCTCTCTCCTCTGTTGCTCTCTCATGGAAGAAATAAGTAAATAAACTTTGAAAAAATATTTTTCCTCCTGTTAAGAGGCCTTTCTTTCAGTGGACCTCTAGGTGCTGATTAGGCTCCCAATTCATAGACTGTGAATAGAGTCTATGAATATAGATATATTATCTTCTTATGTAAGATACTGATATATTATCTTCTTCATAATACTTGGGGTTTATCTTAAATGAAGCAGAAGTAGATTTAAATTTTTTTTTTTTTTGCCAGAGGGCACATGTGCTCACCAGAGAGAGAGAGACAGAAACAGAGACAGAGAGAGGGAAAGTGAGAAATCACCTTCTAGGGCATGGTCACACCATAATCCCTTCTCCATTCTTCTCTTGGGATTTTAGGCATGGACACACTTGTGCCTGGTGTGATTTTCAAGCTACTGGGTCTGGGATTCAGACCATGGTAATCCACATGGGAGTCTAGGGTTTTAACCATTAAGCCACATGATGGTCCCAGAAGTAGATCTTTTTAAAACTCAGAAGTAACTTTGGGAAGAGGCGTCCACAGTCAGCACCCATTATTCTGTATCTTTCGCTCTGTCAAACACTGCCTATTTTGCTAAGCAAAGGCTTTAGATAAATTAGGACAAACATTTCTCTTGCCAAAATGATGAAAGGCCAATCCAGGAGTCTGCATTATTACAGCATTTATTAAGAGGCACTTGGCTTATTTCTCATCAAGTTGGCCACTCATGTTTATGGGCTTTTCAGGTAACTGCAGTTCACATGCTACATTTAATGTGCTGAAGAAGGACTTTGAATGCAGATTTATTGCCTGGGTTTTGTTATAACATAAATATGAACTCTATAATAACCTAAGGAGGAATTAGCTATGTTTAACTCAATGATTTCCAGAACCTGAGGAAATAAGTTCCATAACATTTTATGATTTCTCTGGTATATTCATTTAAAAAAATCAGAAAATACACCAACTTTGGTCCCAATTGCTGTTAAATGCCTCATATCTTTTATAAGCCAAATTCATTTCCTCTAGACTCCATCTCTGTACAAATGAAACTTTAGGGGTATCATGAAATGTTCATTCCCATGTGGTTTATTTAAGTCATATGCTCATTTGACATTCTGGAAACTTTAGGTAAGGTGTTATTTGTGGGAGCATAGTCTAAAGTTAGGAAGCAAGTACACTTAAGCACACATTCTTGGAACATACTTTTAAAAATATAAATGTTAAAATCCACTAACAGAGCAAAGCATTTCTGCTGGGGTAGCCAACACTCACCTGGGAAACCTCCCACAAAGACCGGGTCATTGGTATCAGCTGATGTAGATGCTGGGTTTGGACTTTGGCTTTCCACCTGGTTCCCATCTACCGTGAGCTCAAGACGGTGTTTGATCTTGTTGGCAGTGACTTTATGCCATTGTCCATCACACAAACGCCCTGGGATCCCAGCGTCATAGACTGCAGTGAACCGGCCGGCGCCATTGTCCACATGAAACATAAGCTAAAAAGGAGGACATTGAACGGTCCAGATGGCTTCATTGCAGAGTGTCGTTATAGTTCACATGGTAAAAATGATCTGTTCTCAAAAAGACCTGACTGGAGTTATTTGAAGTGGACAGAACTGGATCAGATTAAAATTTTTCCTTTTAATTTGATAGAAATGAAAATACAGACCTGATCACCAGGAGTCACAAATCATGTTCTTAGCTTTGGGGCACTGTTACAAGTAATAGGTTAAGATGTGTGCAGCTGGTAATAATTCTTTTTTTTTTTTTTTTTTTGAGATATTTTTGCCTTAGAGTGCATGCATTTGCTGGGAAGAGAGAGCCAGAGACAGTGAGAAGTGGGGAGGGGGGGTTGTGTGTGACCACACTGCAATCCCTTCTGCTCCATTCTCCTCCTGGGATTCTGGACACACACACACACCCTGAGCATGAGTTTCAAGCCACCAAGTCTGGGACTCGAACCATAGTCGGCCATTTAAGAGTCCAGCTTCATAACTGTTAAGCCATCTGCTGGCACCAAAGCTGGTAATAATTCTACTTTCAGAAAAAAATTGGGTCCAGGTGACAAAAAAGGGACCCAGTATACACAGGGAAATATTCTTCCACAGATATTTTTAGACTGTGAGACTTCTTAGTGAACCTTGTAAAATGTTCTTAAATGATGTGTAATTTGGTTTATGAAGATGCTTTAAGAGATTTTTCATTTTAATTTAAACTCTTGATGTTTTAATTCTATTTTTTTCTTCATGGATTCCATTTTACAGACAGACTTGAGAATTACATAAATTGCTTTTTTTGGGCACATTTTATGTCACAGGTGCAAAGACCAAACCAGAAAGCCAGTTAAATTCCTAACAATGAAGAACTCAGTTTAGAAGTTCTTGTCTAAATGAGAGAAATACGGTTTTAGTAATGTGGAGAGGCCCCTGCAATTTGAGATGACAGTTCCATTGAAGCTGATGAAGAAAAGAAACACATGAAACATTCAAAACATTAATCAGTTTGGTAACACTTTTGACAAGAAAAGATAAATGATTTTTAAAAAGAAGATGAAAAGTACAAGTAAATGGGTGAAAAGTTCATAACCTATACAGTGATGTATATATTAGTGATGCATTTGCTGTGATGGGTGGAGTTTGTAATAACAGGGTTCTGCATGTATTAATAGGAGGAGCTTGGTGAGAATCCACCTGATACAGTGATGTGTTGATAGTGACTGCAGATAAAAGCAGGGGATGAGATGAAGCTTAGTGGAACAAGATATAGTTAAGTCTGTTTGCAAAACTATCCAGTGTTGCTTATCTGTTTACCCTTTTTACCTCTAAACTTTTGAACTTCTTTTGATTGTTGTTGCCTGTCCAGATGGTTTGAAGACTGAGTATAAGTAAGATGGAGGTCAGGAAAGAGTATTATGTAGTTGTCTTCTCAGGAGGGAACAGCAGCATAAAGACAGAAACATGAACAGAGTTGGAGTTTGATTCCTGGTTAATAGCCAAGTAGGGAACTTGTGAAATTTCCCCTTTTGTCTCCATTTTATTCTTTCTTAGATTTTTGCCATGGAGTGTATGTGCTCACCAGAGAGAGACAAAGAAAGAGGAAAGTGAGAAATCAGTCCCCAGACAAAATGGCCATGCTGCAATCTCTTCTCCATTCTCCTCTTGGGATTTTGGGCATGAACGCATAAACCCTGGTCTGTTTTACAAACTACTGGGTCTGGGACTCAAACTGTAAGTGACCGTGTGGGAATCCAGCACCTTAACCACCAGACCACCTGCTAGCTCTTGCCACCTCTTTTTACCTGCTCCTTATAGTACAAAGTGTTTATAAACAGGTCTTCTCACTGCAGGTTGCTCTCAAAGGCACACAGGGACTAAAGATGTGCTCAGACTTACACTATCCATCGTAAGCAAATGACCAAATACTCTAATAAATTTTTTCTTATTAGAAATGATATCTGAATACTATTAATTAGTTAATTAATTAAAGAGATTTTTGCTATAGGGTGTGTGTCCTCGCCACAGAGACAGAGACTGAGAAACAGAAATTGAGAAATCATCCCCCTCCCCAAGGAGGGATGGCCATGCTGCAATCCCTTCTCTTCTCTTCTTCTCTCAGGATTTTGGGCATGCATGCACATGTGCCTACTGTGAGTTTGAAGCTGTCAGGTATGGGACTTGAACCATGGTCAACTATGAGGGAGTCCAGTGATGTCATCATGCCATCTGCTGGTCCCTCTGGAAGCTTTTTTTTCTTTTTTTAAATTTGAAAACATATGTGAGTGGGCTACCTAAACTTCTGAGAAATGGCTGCCATTAAGAGGCAGAATAATTTCAGATGATCCAAGCCTCCTTTTTTTTCTTCCAGGGGGATTGATAGTTTCATGGACTATATGTTCCTACAGAGGAGAATAGTGATATAATTACAGTAACACAGTAGGAGCTTGATATCTAAAAACTGTTGGTGTTCTTCTAGTCAACACAATGGGTCTGCTATAGAATGAACATATTTAAAATTTATACTAGCCTACAGAGTAATTATGCTGAAAATACAAAGTGAGGTAATTCAGAAGGGTAAAAAGTACCATCTGATTCTTGTCCAGCAAAGAATACAGCAAGGCTTTGAACTAGAATTTTCTCTATATAACAATAGTATCATGAGGAAATCAGAAATGTTTGGACTGTTCACACTCACCTTTTCATCGATCATTTCAATACCCATGCCATCCATTTTTTGACTGCTGATTCCCAGAAGAACCCCAGTGGGTCTAGTTGTGCGGAATTCAAATTCTACAAGAAGATCCAATCCCACTTTGAATCCATCGACTGTAAAATAGAGATGTTTTTTCAAATCATGGATTAGAATGTAGAAATTGTTAATCCAAATTGGTGAAATGCAAAGGTTTTGCTAGATTTCAATTCAGATGCTGTAAGTTCTAGACTCCCTCATGTCTTATACTTATACATTATGTCACATAACATACTGATTACTTATATTTTTTTATCGCCTTTTCTGTAAAAGCATAAACTGTTTATATATTGTTCACCATTTTATCCCTGTGCCTACTAAGTTGTTTGGCACATAGTGGAAGTTTAATATGTATTTATTCAATAAATGAAAGAATGAAGGACAGCAAGGTGGTGTGGTAGTTAAGGCAGCTAGATCCTACATGGCCAACTCCATGATTTTAGTCCTGAACCTGGTGTCTTGAAAAACATGCTGGGTGCATGTGGGTAGCATGTACATGCATGCCCCAAATCCTGAGATGAGAACAGAGGAGAAGAGACTGCTGCATGTTCATCTCCCTGAGGACTGATTTCTCACTTTCCTTCTCTCTCTCTCTGTCTCTCTACCTTTCTCCAGCTAGTACACAAGCCCTATAGCTAATTAAAAGATAATAATGAATGAATGAATGAATGAATACACACCGAAATTAACTCAAAGAATTTAAGTTTAGGTATGATTGTGTTAGAAATCTGTTACATTAAGTAAAGCATTTCAATGATTTTTTTTTTTTTAGAGGCTTTTGCTATAGGGCGTGTGCGCTCGCCAGACAGAGAGAGAAAGACCGAGAGATAGAAAGCGAGAAATCACCCTTCAGGGGGGATTGGCCACGCCACAATCCCTCCATTCTCCTCTCGGGATCTTGGGCATGCACGCAAATGCGCCCGGAGTGAGTTTAAGCCACCGGGTCTGGGACTCGAACCATGGTCGACTATGTGGGAGTCCAGCGACATAGTGATTACGCTAACTACTGGTCCCAATGATTATTCAACAACACTTCATTGAAGCATTCTAAATGGTACCACAGTGATCTGAAAGGGTTCAAAAGTTCCTGAACATATGATTAGTGAAGAAAAAGGACAACTGTATTTCTCTAGTTCAGTGAGTTCTTTTCTTTATAATTTTCCATATTAGATTCATTGGTTTATTTAATCTTTTAGCAAGTATTTAAGATATGCCTCTCAGAAAAAAATGTGATAAGGCTGGTCTAGATCATATCAGCTGTCTAGAGTATTAGGGAAGAACTGGTGAAAGTTTTTTCTATGTCTTCTATGTAGTAGATAGGAAATAAATACTATGTGTAAGTATTCCTGTCTCCAGTCAAGGGCTGGTAACTGTTTTGTGGAAAACTTTGTTGTACCGAGACTCTTAATGGGTTTAGATGGGTAGAGGTGGGTTTATAGCAAATTTTATGAGTAAAAGGTAGAAGAAGATAAATTGTTCTGCAAAACAAAGAGAGAAATAACATGAGGCACTTCAACTGAGGATAGAGTAAATAAGAGGACTCACAAAACAAAAAACGTTGGTGATTGGATGGTTGGATAACTTTCAAGAATAAAGATATCAAGGGTTAAATTGAAATAGTATCTTTCTCAGAGAAGTAATCTAGTATACGTAATTATTTATTTATTTATTTTTTGGAGAGGTTTTTTCACTATAGGGCACGTGCGCTCGCCAGACAGACAGACAGAGACAGAGAGAGAAAGCGAGAAATCACCCCCCAGGGGGGATGGTCACGCCACAATCCCTTCTCCTCCATTCTCCTCTCAGGATCTTGGGCATGCATGCACACACACCCAGCGAGAGCTTTAAGCCACCAGGTCCGGGACGCAAACCGCGGTCGACTATGTGGGAGTCCAGCAACATAGCCATTACGCTAACTGCTGGTTCCCACAAAATTCTTATGTAAACTGGACTACTCTACATGTCACTGTACAACACTACATGTTGAGGAGATGGTAGTAGTTGATGGAAGTTGAGGTATTAGTCAATTTTCTGGTCCAATCTGATTCAGAACCAAAAATCCCGGGCAGCATGGCAAGTCAATCCATTAACTACAGGAACTGAAGCTTAAATTTGCCATCAAATCTAAGTAGATGCAAACAATTTGTGAACTGATAGAAATCTTAGCAAAGCCTTTGAACTTCCACAGCACATAGAATTTGGAGTTCAACATAACCCATAATGTTTCAGTATTGAACATATCCAGTGATTTTCTGCTTACACATCGGTGACGTTTCCTACTTATCATTTATTGGAAGGTCTTATTTTTTCACCTCCCACAACTTTGGTAGAACACTCTCAAATCACTCAAATGTCAGTTCTCCCCCAAAACCTCTACTGATTTCCCTAAACAAAATTAATCTTTTTTTCTGAATACCTGAAGCACTTTGCTTGTATATCTTTTACAGTTTCAAATAATTTCTATGTGCCTTCTTGTGATTTCTGAGCAAATAGAATCTTACCTTCTTATTTTTAAAAGTGTTTTTTTTGCCATAGGGCATGTGTGCTAGCTGGAGAGACAGTTACATCTTATCTACTTCTCTGTTTCCCATGATAACTTTAATATATTATGTGCTTATTAATTTTTCCTAATGAACAAATACATGTGTCTATGATAACCATAGAACTGAATATTCTATCTAAAGATATTTCAATGGCTGATTTAAAAAAATTATTATATGCAGTTATTTAATATTTTTTCCCAAACTGTACTTTCATGACCAGCGATCCAGACCTGTATTGGAAATGTTCATTGGAAAAGGGGTGAGGAGAATACCTAAGGAAAGCCAGAGAAAGCTGCCATTAGTTATCACTGTCAACAAGAAAAGGGCACCAGTACATGTGCACTATGTGTGTATACATGTGTATGTGTGTACATGTGTGTGTACGTGTGTGTGTGTGTGTGTGTGTGTGTGTGTATGTATGAGGTGGAGGAGCAGATAATAAAATAGAACCTTGCAAGGAATTGAAGAGGAAGAAAGAAAATTGAATCTTATCTCTGAAAAGGTAGACAGGGAAAATTGGAAGGTAGAGAAATTACATACTACAAACACATGAGCCTTCTTGCAGAGTTACATTTATTTTGCTGTTATTGATCGCCAATGAAAAAGATGAAATAAACTCTCCAAATAGGCTTTTACTTTATTCCCTCTACTATTGGGTTGTCCAAAACATCATGACATATTATTTCTATGCAAAAATGTGTCAGGACTTCAGGGAACCAGCAGTTAGTGTAATGGCTATGTTGCTGGACTCCCACAGAGTCGACTGTGGTTTGCGTGCCAGACCCGGTGGCTTAAAACTCACGCCGAGCGCGTGTGTGTGAGTGCCCAAGATCTCGAGAGGAGAATGAGGAGAAGGGATTGCGATGTGACCATCCCCCTTGTGGGGTGATTTCTCGCTTTCTGTCTCTATGTCTCTCTCTGTCTGTCTGGTGAGCGCACGCGCCCTATAGTGAAAATATCTCAAAAAAAAAAAAAATTTGTCAGGACTTTTCAGAAAACCCAATAGTTCTTATCTGAATCAGACTCATGAACTTTTAAGGGGGCATTTTTAATTACTTCTATAAGTTTATTTGTGGTTTAAATAAAGGCTACTAGTTTAGGACACTGAGGACAGAGAGAATGAAGTGGCCTCATATTTTTCAATACAAGTAAAAAGTTAGCATTTATACCTCGTTAATATTCAACAGGAAGAAAATGGAAGAACCTTACCTGCTTTGGCAAAACCTTTTCCATCAAAATATGTTCCCCTCTGGGCATTCGCAAAACATGTCCCAACATGGTAGCTGGAGGTTGGCTGTTCCAAATCAACAGGGGCCTCTGCCATGTGAAGATTCCTGATGCAGCCATCAATGCTGTAGGTCACCTAAGTAAAAAGTCAGATCAGAAGAAACAAATGTCAGGATTTAGCGTCACTTTATTTTATCGTTTGTCTAATGCAGTCACTGTGAGCAGTCATGGGCCGGCTGACTTGGGGCATCCTCCAACAGCTGCCTGCATCTATACTGGGCCTCCAGGTTTCACAGCGTGGGTGCAGCAGGTCGTGGTCTTCAACTAGGATGTATCTCACCTGGAATACAATCATTCTGAAATTCTAAATACTGTACCCTATGTTACACTATGTCTCCACTGGTTTCACAGAGCTTTGGACCCCATATGGTATCGTAATTTTTAATTATTTTCTTACGTTGCTATTTCATGTTTCTACTAATAGTTTATTAACCTTCATTTGGTCATAATCTGTGTTCAGTTTCTATTAAAAAGGTAATTAGGTTTGGTTCAGCGCTTCTTCCTTTTCAAACCCCAATGAGAGGAGTGGCCCATCTCCTAAGAAAATGCACACATGTAAAACTTGAAAGTACGCATGAAATACCAGGGGTTCAAGGACTTTAGAAAAAAAATCAATACTTTGCTCCATTATATTAATCTGGTTTTAAGAATTCTAATTAATCACTTGCTGCCATCACTCAAGAGACTTTTGTTTTTGATACACAAAAATGGAGTATCTAATAGCTATAAATGAAAAGCAGTGCTGACCAACCACAAGAGAAGCCCAATAGTGAGAATTACAAATAACTACAGTGGTCAAATGTCTTTCACGAATGAGCACATCTACATCATTATGTGTTCTAATTTGTGTATAGAAATGTATCACATTTTTATTGAGTGTGATTTCTAAAAACACTAGTCCTCTGTACTTCTCAGCATAACACTTCTCAATGTAAACCAGGAAACATGATCCAACAATATATATTGTGTGATTATTGATGCGCAAATTTGTGAGGACTTCAAATTCTGGATCCAAAATGGGATAATTGCCCTCTAAATCAGCATTTCACAATATCCAGTAAATCTCCATTTCTGAAATAGCACCATCATCTTCATCTTCATGGTCTAGTTTTCTATGTGCCAGGTCTCTTCCAAGCACTTTAAATACGCTCTCCTTGAATCTTTACAGCAGCCTTGCTTTTTTTGGTATGATGATTACCCTATTTTGCAAGAGGGAACGCTGCCAAAGAAAGATTGAATAACTTGCTCAAGGTCTCACGGCTAGTCACTAGCTAAGTGGGTATTTAAAATGAAGGGGTCTGGCTCCAGGGTCCCCACTCAACAGTTGTCCAGCTTTCTATGTGCCAGGTCTCTTCCAAGCATTTTAAATACACTCTCCTTGAATCTTTACAGCAGCCTTGCTTTTTTTGGTATGATGATTACCCTATTTTGCAAAAGAGGGAACGCTGCCAAAGAAAGATTGAATAACTTGCTCAAGTTCTCAAGGCTAGTCCCTAGCTAAGTGGGTATTTAAAATGAGGGGGTCTGGCTCCAGGGTCCCCACTCAACAGTCAAATTTGCCTCCCGTATACAAATCTATCTGGAAAACCTTCTGTCACTTTTTTTTTAATTGAGAGGCTTTTTTTTTTTT